ATTTAATTGTATATTTCTAAAGAAGCCAACTAATTGGCGCGTTTCACACGTGTGGCTATATGCGGAGGAGCTGCATCGTGTTTAAAATATTATAAGAACATTAATAGCACGTGACAAAAGATGTTTAAATATTAAAATAATTAAAAAAAATCTTTTGAATAAAAAAGTTCAAGCTCAGCACGCTTTATTAACGACCAATAGATCATCGGATCAGACGGCTGTGATGACACCAAAAATGCTTCATGGATTCAAAAACCTACACCGGCCGGGAATCGAACCCGAATCTATACCGTGGCAGTGTACTATTCTACCACTAAACCACTGGTGCCGTTGAGATTAGAATTGGCAATTCGTTTCAATATACAATTCTGTAAAAGGAAAGGAATTTTTCCAGACCTTTCCCAGATAAAAAAAAGAAAAAAATATTTAAATCTAATAGCCATTAACAACTAAAAATACTAATAAATAATACAACATCGTCTCCAAACACCTTCAACTTATTTTTAAAAACATGAAATATAAGTATGTCTAATTCAGTGCTCAAATCAACTTTATCCATCAAACTTAATTTAAGGAGGGAAGACTTTACATACGATCTTAGACGCATCCCCTTACGTGTTAAGAATGGATTGAAGTATTAAAAAGAAAGACTATATATATTTAAAATTATTGTTTTTAAGTAATAAAATAGTTTTACAAATTTTAAAATATTATTTTAAATTATTGATGGATTTATAAATTATGGCCTACAACCCAGAACGATTTTTTAGGGTGAAAATTAAGTAGAATCAACACACGATTCTTTTATTTATGAAACATTTTAGTATGTAAATTATTATTTTATAAACATATCAACATATTAGTTGTAAAAATAGATTTTATTAATGAACAGTTCAAATATTAGTAAAGAGTAGATTGAATTACAGGTGTCAAATAGCATCTAAGTAATATGAATTATTAATGATTAGAATCTAAGTAAAATTCTTTTTAGATACGTAATTAGAATGTTTTTAACCCATCAATGATAAAATAGCGAGTCTTCAAATATTAAAAACAAAATTAATAATTACTGACAAAGATTAAAGTTTAATTTGGTATATTTAGCTAGAAAGAAATCCATTTCTATATAAATGAAATTAAAAAAATAAATGAAGATTTTATTAATGAGCCGTTCGAATGTTAGTAATGAGTAGATTGAATTACAAGTGTCAAATAGCATCTAAATTACATGAACATCTATTTATATCAATAAAATAATAATTTAATGATAGATAGACTTATAGTTAATGATTCTTTTTTATTTTCTCGAAAAAGAAAGAAAATTCTCTTTAGAGCCGTAAATAGAAACTTTTTAACCCATTATGGGTAAAATACCGAGTCTTTAAAGATTAAAAACCAAATTAATAATTACCAACAGAGATTAAAGTTTAATTTGGCATATTTAGCTAGAAAGAAGCCCAATTCTATATAAAATGAAATTAAAAAAATAAATAAAAATGTCAAGCTCAGTAGCGCTAATTTATCATCCTGGAGATCAGACGGCTGCGAAGGACCCAACAATCACTTTTATTATTACGTCATTATAACTAACATGTAATAATAAAAAACTGAAAATAAATAAAAACAAAAAATCTCAAGCTCAGCAACGCTGTTTCATCATCCTGTAAATCGGACGGCTGTGATGGACCCAACCAACACTTTGAGCGTAGACTTCATCATCACTTGATTAAATTGCACCAGCCGGGAATCGAACCCGGGTCTGTACCGTGGCAGGGTACTATTCTACCACTAGACCACTGGTGCTCTTGCTTTCTCTTATTACTTAATTATTTAATTAACTAATTAATCTCGCCCCAAAAAGAAGAAGACAGAATTTTCAAGTTTATACACCAACAAGCTTCACATCGCGATTTTTTTGTTCACATAAACCAAAGTAATCTCTTCCCTCAGCTAAAACTACAATATGAATGACAGAGTTCCAAATATTTTCCTTGTCTCATACCCTTGACAAGCAAGCATATTTCCAGTTCATTACCATTTCCATATGTTCCTTAGATCATACTCTGGTTTCTAGTTTCTGGTTCTTACTGTATCATGATAAGGGAGGGGGTTTATTTACTGGTGAAAATAACGACATAAGTAGTGAGAAAGAGGGCCAGAGGGCTTACCTTTAAGTAGTAAGCATGCTCCCAAACATCCATCCCTTTTGCAAAGGAACTAAAGCCAAAGGGGCTCATCAGAAAGAGGGCCAGAGAAATTAAAAAATCGTAAAAAATATTTAAATTAACAAATAAACATTTTCGTATTTCTAAATAAATTAAAAATAATTAATATTAATATTATGTATATATTAGTGACATTTTGTTGATATTTTTCATATTTTGTCGATTTTTTGTACTACGACAGAAATATCAATTTACCCCTCGTGTCGACGTCGAATCTATAAAAGCATTGACATGTCGATGAAAATGTCGACGTGTCAATGGATATTTAAAATCAGGGTCACAAGAGGATCCTGCAAAATACTTGCATCAGCAGATCTGCTAGCTCAACTTTTTGTAAATATCATTAATCATATAAGATCTATAAGCTGATAAGATGCAACTACAGGGCAGAGGACCCAACAGAAACTTTTGTGCATTCTAATAGAAAAGAGTCAGATTTGTATACAATGGGTAAACATTATAGGCCTCTTAAATGGCTAAAGTGTCTGCCCAGGAATTAATTCTAGTTTCTATCTTACCCACCATTCCTCGGTGCATTGCTCCGATACCCGAAATTGATAGACCTTAGCCTCAATTTTAGTTATCAACACTCGGAGTTTAGAGAACTCCCCTTCTCTCACAATTCTCAATAGAGAAACCACAAAAACAGATTGCCAAAAGGATCCCCTCAAACACACTCCTTTCTTACACGCTTAGGCTCAAACACTTTAGTGATTTGTGGCCTATCAAAACACTAAAGCCAATTTGGGTATTCCTTGATGAAATGATACTAGTGGCCAACAGTTGGTACCAGGACTCACCATCATGTTTTAATGCGACTTGATTTGCTTATGCTATGGTGCTGAGTCCCTTAATGAGGGACTGCCACGGATATTTAATTATACCAAAGGGAAAAAGAGCCAAATTATACCTAATTTTGCCCAACTTTATTCTAATTCCCCTTTTTTTAAAGGAATAACTTCTTCCATATTCTTCTCCTTTCAAATTTTTCAAATTTGATTGACATGTTGTTCCAAATTCTGTCACGTCAATTTTCTATTCAAAACACAAATAGATATTTTCTCAAACGGTATGTTTGGAACGTTATCAAGGGTAGTATTGAAACCTTTAAAAGGATATATCTTTTAAATGGATTACAAAGCTCAGTTTATCAGAGGTATAGGGGCTGAAAACTGAATATTGAAAAAGAACACTGAAAATACTTGGCAAGTGTACCTGATTTAAAGTGGTTTCAACAGAAAGCCTCCTCTGCTTAATATCAAGAGCAAGCCACTGAAATGAACTCGAAGTAACCAATAACCATCAGTTTAAACTTTTCAACATTCAATGATGCGAACTAACCACCCATCTACAGCCTTGGAGAGAAGCACCTTAACTATTGATTTTCAGAATCTACGCTTAGTCGGACATAAAGAAACCTGAACAGGACTAGGAGGCTCCCCACCACGATCCTACAAAAACTCAGAAATGGTTACGAATTAGGGAAACGAGATTCAAGTAAATTTGATAACAGGAAAGCATCAGTCTTACGCGGACTGGAACGAGATTCTTCCAGAAAATCGAATGGTTGATATGACCTTTGGAACGATAAACAGAATTAAAAAGCTAGAAGAAAATTCACACCATCAAGGACTAACAATCGGCGATAGCTGTTCCCAAGTTCCTCAATCGCTATTACTTACTTACGTTACATTAATCCGATTCTATATCACTAATTGAGAAAAAGAAGGTTCAAATGCACAAATGATAGGTCTCGTAATGTCAATATGAACTTATAAAATTCACCCTAACCTTATAACTCTGACAATAATGAGATATTCGAAAGAAATTGCAGTACCTCCGCCATCGAACTTGATGTCTCGATCGAGCTGGTCGAGAGCCTTGTTGAAGATCGAGACATACGCTTGATGATGTTTTCGGTGATGCAATCGCATGATCTCGCCACTAATTACTGGCTCCCGGAACCTGCCTGAAGCAGAATCCTCCATTTTTACTGAGTAGCAGAGCTTCCATGGTCACGGCGGCCGCTTGAACGGCCATTTCTTACCTTTCTTCCTGGTTTCCATTATCGGTCTCTGCAGTGTTCGMGCGCCGAAGAAGCAACTGACCATCTGGCAGTTACCAGCATCAAAACTATATTGCAGAAACCCCCCTTTCCTCTTCGTTATTGCCATAAACGCCCCAAAATTGCATTTAATATTGTTTTGTTGTTTTTGTTTTGTTTTGTTTTTTTTTCCGGTTAAAAAAGCACATTTTACAGACTAATTTTAATTTGAATGATTTAGTCTAACCATTTCAATCTCTATAATTTAAAATATATAATAATTTAATCYGTATTATGAAAAATCTCATCAAAATTAARCGTTGATTTTTATCATAATAACAACTTAATCTTTTTAATTTATAAACACATTTGGTCTTTCGTCGATTAATCTATTTASATGCATAATAAACTTAACAAAATTTTTACGATAAGGACTAAATCGTTAGAAATTTCAAATTACAGGGACAATCATAATTTTGCCATCTAATATTATTATTATTATCATCTTTCAGTCTTATATAATACTCATTTCTAACATCTTCAGTTTAAACATATGCTTATGTTAATATATGTACCAAATATAAACAAGAACAAATCAAGCTCAATTCGATCAAATTTGTATGATTTGTAAAATCATGACCAATACAAGGAAGTTCAATATCTTGAACAATCAAGAGCAACAATTTAAGGCAATATCCAAAGCTAAAATTAATAATACATACAAGAAAATATTGAATAAATCTTTGTTGAGATACTAAGAAGAGCGTCATAGAAAAATTTAATGATTATTTTTAATTGGTCAAAACCCTCCAAATACTCTAATTATTATTATTCCCCCTCTTCTCATACATCTTGCTACCTCTCTTCCAAGGGTATTAATAATTCCCTTTCTAAAAAGAATAAATGAAAACCAACACTTGTGGTTTACTGCTACTTATGAAGCTACTTTTTCATCTGCCTGCTCTCAACAAAAGCTTGGGTAAAACATAGACGACGACTTAAAAGCTTCGAGGTCTTTAATGGCTACTAGGGGTTTCGGTGGCGTCTCGGCCTCCATCAAGTTTGCCTCGCAACCCCATACTCGAATTGCAAGTCTCCGACATTTGGGAGATGATTCCTGTAAATATGTCTTGTACCAATCTATAATGTCGTTCTTTTGAATGCTCTTCAACTCCTCAGTTTCTTTCTCGGAGAAATCAAACATGTACCTGGAAAAAAAAAGTATTGTAGGATGAAGGCATGAACACGACGAAAAAATATTTCGTGTTTCTACGTTCAGTAATCAACGGGCATTCCATTTTGGTGAAAGAAAATGAACAAGACAATACCTCTTATCAACAATTTGATTCCATAATCTATTGGTTTCATAAGAGAGTGATGGATCCTTCTCCAGAAGCCTAGCAATTAGTCCATTTTTGTAGTTCTCAAAAGAAGCTTCATCAAGACCAYGCTGCAAACCCAACAAATTTTCAGATTATGTAAACGTTGTTACTCTGAGAAGGTAGGATTAAATCACAAAATTCTAGTAGCTATATAATGAGGTATGTTGCAGAATGAATTGATGGAAAGTGGAAATTAAGTAGACTCTACATGGATGGACTTGGTTATTCTAGATATGAACACAGAAGTGAAACGCGTCTTATTTATTATTTTATTAATCCTCTTGTGTTTTATATCTTTGTGACCAGAATTCTAATATCCAACCAATACCGAATTTTTCTTTTTTTTTCTTTTTATATATATTCGCGAGTGTTCGGACCAGTTTACTCGTACCTCAACTAATCTCTCAACTAATCTCCAGGACAATCACCCGACCCTACAACATTTGGTTGCCAAGGAAACTTGTAAGATATTAAATCTTAGGTAGGTGACCATCATGGTTTGAACTCATCCTCTCTAAAGCCCTCAACTGGTTACATTGGCCCTTATTGACTACTAGGTCAACCTAGGATGGTTAACCAATACCGGATTTTAATTAGAAATAAATTATCCAACCAAAGAATGACTTTTCAAGCAAAAAAAGTTCCTTAAGTTTTTATATCAGAACATCTAAAACTGGCTGACGACCATTAAATAAATAAGGTTTTAAGTCCCACCCATGAGATTAATAAAATTTCAAAACGAATGAAACCAAATATATTGTTGAACACAGCTACTAGGTAATCTGCATGAAAATTAGGGAACAGCTACTACATAAACTAAATAAAAATGATGAGACATKATCTCGATATATTTATCTACTATTGATTAAAGTAAGTAAAGAAAGACAATTACTGAGAAGAGAAAAGTGCTTGCACACTAACCAGTAATTCTTGCAAGCCAGTTATGAAGTTCTCAAATCTCTCTTGCAAAAATATTGGACTGTACTCGGATGATTGAACGGAGAAACAAAAACCATATACGCGATATGTTATCCGTGGGCTGCATTGGACAACATAACCAAGTTGCTCCTTTGTCCTGTACCATTCACAAGTAGAACAATTGTCCTACATCAGAACATAAATCATACTAGTACAAATCCCTATTATAAAATTTCCAGTCAGCAACATTTTCTATTAAAAACATGCCGACGGATTTATACACAACAGAATTTCAGCACCTGAATGCCTATTTATTGAACATAGAGCGAAGATGGCTGGCATGGTTTACTTGCTTCGCTTGTATAGAAGTAATATGATGAACTCTCCCTAGCAAGAGAGAAGGAGATCTATCTCTTTTCACCAATAGTCAAGATCAAACCAAATAATATTGTCGACTAAAAAGTATTTTCTCATAGGCGTGCGTTTTGTCCAGAAAATCTATTCATCATAATCGGACAAATTGAGCTTACTGCTTAGATGCCCCCAAGCAATCACAAAAACCCAGGGTGGGAGTAGGAATAGGAGTTTAGTTACTTCATTGAATTTCTCATACCATCCCGCATTCCCGCTCCTAAATACAATACCAAGGGAAAAAGAGAAAAGAAAAGAAAAGAAAAACCCTTCTCTAGTTTCTTCAGACTCGATAAATGCACTGGGGATTATTAGAACCTTCCTTGAAAAAATAAATAAATAAAAACTGATACATTACGTTAAAATGAAACATACAAAGGAGTAGTCCCTCGAAAGGTGAATGAGTTGCAGAAAAAGTTTCCAATTGACATTTGATGGAAGAAGTAATTACCAAAGAATAATGCCAAGAGCTCCAATAAGCCAAAGGGGCTCATCAGAACTTTAAAGATAATAAAATAAAATACAGGTTCCCATGTGAAAGAGTATCGCTTAAAAATTCACCTTAGCTGATTGAAAAGTGGTTCCTCAATGATTTCATCAAATAAATCAATCAGGGCTTTCAGTCTGATCGCCTCCATTCCAACCTCCGGTTCAATTTGAAAGTACAGCTGCATCATGACATCAAGGAAAATAGAATTGATAAACAATGTTCACGCTGTTTCAGATAACATCAGAAACATATTTCATTTCTCATTACCTCCAGCACGGAATTTCTCTCCAATTTATTTTTCACACTGACGTCTCTGACAAGATTAGCACCAGGAGGGAAACATATTACACGCTCGTAATGCCTCATTCCAAGAGGAAGTGGTTGTACAGAGAAGTTGGCTTTAAATATGTTAGACAGGCTAATTGCTTCCTCTTCTAAGAAATTTCCATGGCAAAGTCCCTCAATATATAGCTGTTMAAAATGGAGATGTAAAAATGTCATTCTCAGAAAATGAGTGTCTCCATATAGAACATTTTTAGGGAGCTGATAATGAATAACTCATTCAACTTTCATGGCAACCACCAATTAATGAAACTAAGGACAATAAAAGGAATGAAACAAAAATTTTTGGTGGCACTGAATGCCAAGAATATACAGCAGCATATTAAGATAAGTGTCTGGTTGTCCACGTAATTTATACCTGGGATAGAAGCTCAGGGATAAACGCCTCCAAATCGACAAAAGACAAGCCGTTTAGAACATTACTTTTCTCATSTGCATCATAGAATCTCTCACACAGAACTTGTAATCTCAAGTATGACGAGTGGCTTCGAGGCTTCATATTKGTGTTTCTCAAAGTCCTCTCCATATTTTCTTTAATAACCTTTATAAAGCCTGTGTCAGTTTCTCATTGTAAAGCCAAATACCAGGAAGAAATCATTAAGACCTATCTCCCAAAATCCAAGAATAAATTATTCCATACACCTTAAAACGATCTTCAGAAGGCATAAATGATTTAGCAGTTGCCAGAAGTATAGACAGGAGAATAGGAAGCTTATCATTGAAACCAAACACCTTCAGCTCCAGCTTGTCACCATAAATAGCTACAGAAGTTTCTAGCTTGGCAATGCTAGCCTGAAAAGGACGAACGTAAGTCTGCTGTAACATACATTAAATGCCACACAAAATGCTGAAACTGTAGTCTTTATCAGTCACAATACCATTGTGGTGAATTCTGTAAGAAGCATGAATACAGACGCGAGATATGGACACGTTGACGCATCATTTCTTACAAAATTTAGGACATGGACACGGCAATGACATGTTTATTAAAACATACATGTTTTTAAATATATATCAYGAAGAAAATCTAAATTCAATAAGCTTATTCATTAATATGCTTAAAAAAAGGAGTTTGATGTATTTTGATCTCAAATTTATTATTTTATCCTATATATCTATTTATCATGTTTTACAAGTGTTTGAACGTGCTTAACAAGTGTCGGATCTATATCCAATTTGTACCACTAGTGTATGACACACATCTATTGAGCTAACAAGCGACTGGTACAAAATTATTATTTTATCCTATATTCATATTCATGTCTATTCATCAAGTGTTTGAACGTAATTAACAAGTGTATATTCAATTTGTGCCACTAGTGTATGACACACCTCAATTGGGCTAACAAGTGACTGGTACAAATTTATTATTTTATGATTTTATCCTATATTCATATTCATGTCTATTYATCATGTTTAACAAGTGTTTGAACGTAATTAACAAGTGTATATTCAATTTGTGCYATTAGTGTATGTCACACATCTATTGAGCTAACATGTGACCAATACGTGTCCAATACATGTCGAAATGTTCAAGTGTCTAACACATGTCAGACACGGACACGTTACACAAACTGAAGTGTCAGTGCTTCTGACGGTAACCACTATGGTGATTTAAGTCTTAATAGAAATGACATTCCACACTCTTAAGAAAACAAGTGAGGCCCTTAAACGGATAACAATCCCTCGGCCTTTCTCACTGTGCAGCCAGAAATTTAGCAAAATAAAAGGACCAAGTAATTTAAAAACATAAGTGGTTAACCTGATATATAATCTCATTCAGCTTGTCCTTAAGGAGGTGAACAAATAACTCGGTCAAGAGACAATTTTTTGCATTACTGTATCCTCCACTCAAATTAATACGGAAATATGTATTTGCCCGAGGAAGTTTAAAAGTATTGTCCAGCTTGTACCAGAACTTCATCAATGGTTCATCAAGTATGCATGYTGGAGAGGATGCGTGGGGAAGATCTTTAGTAGCACGAATGGAAAAATCACATGGAATGAATTCATTCTTTGCAGGTAGATGAAGTGAAGCATCAATTTCAGGAGGGTCCCTCCACAGATCCATCAAAGTGGGAGCAATATCGTCCACAATATAATGTGATCCAAACCAGGGTTCAATTTTGAAGCCTGAAAGAGAGAAATTTAACAACTTGATATTGAATATACAACTCATAAGATTTTTTTTTTTTTCCTGGCATTGGCAACGAACAAATATACARCTTATAAGCTATAGTACTAATTGGCAGCATTAGCAAAAGTCATTTCTCAAAATTGCAATATTTCTCCAAAAGATAACCATTTCTCGTATCTCAAACCAATGCATCGGCTCAAGTTTAGTGACACAAAAGAACAAATTCCTGTTAAATTATTATTAAAAAAATCATGATAAACCCTTTATAACCAAAGTTTTTTTTTTTTGGTAAGAATTTTAACCCAAGTTTCAAATCAAAATTCGTAATTAACTTCATATTTGTATGATTAAGGTTACATTCAGAAACACAATATAAGCAAGTCCGAAATAGAACAAGAAGGTGCAGGTGGGACTGGCGTATATCTTTGATAGGTAATACAAAGTGGTTGTTTTCCCGTTTTATTTAGTTTCTTCTGAAGCCAAAAGTGGTATACCTTGTAGAAAACAAACTTGGCGTACCTTCCAAYTTACTAAAAGATTTTGATAATGTATCAATCCTCATGTTTTCTGGTGTAAAGAAACCAATAACATATTTGACCAAATCCTCGTCCCATATCTTGTGTACATAATCCCCAAAAATGACATSTTCTGCTGGATAAATACACAAATTCTCTGCATAAAATAATTTACACAATAATTAATAAATGAAGAGTGTTCGTACCTGATAAAAATTAGTAAGGAAAAACATGCTCAAAACTCAAACATCCCTTCAATGAATTGATTGACCATCATGTTGATAGTTTCAAGTGAAAGGTCTAGAGCTAAATAACCATCAAACGATAAACAAAAATATATCAGAAAATATTACACTATTATTTCACATGCATGCCAATAAAAATAATTTTGAATGGATGTTAACCAGCCTTCCCTTCCTCCCGTGATTGACATTTTCTTGTCTTGATGGGGAAGCTAATTAGACAGCTAATATATATTTTTGTAAATGGAAATTAGACAGCTAATATTMTAATTTTTTTCAGAACTAACAGGTGAATTGGGCTCGTATATATTCTTGTCTTGTCTTGATGGGTTGCCTTGTATTGGGCTCTCTTTGATTTTGAATACAATCAGTTTGTTTCTTATCAAAAAAAAAAAAAAAGAACTAACAGGTGAGAATAAGATTCTCAAATTTATTAGCAGAAATATAACTTACATGATTGTCCAAAATATAAGGATGCCAAATTTAACGGTAGAAATGACAATAGAAAGTGAATCATATGCAAAGTGAACACTCTGGGTACAAACCATACACTAGATGATGGTTAGAGTTGACAACAAGAATAACCTGCTAGTTCTGCAGCATAGTCATCCTGAGGCTGCTCCTCAGCAAACCTAAATTCCATGTTTCCAATGTCCTGAAGTTCCCTAAAGATCCACTCTTGAGGAGAAATTTGACGTAGCAACTTGAGGTATTGGTAGACATATCCAATAATCTCAAAGATCTGAAGAACATTCATACACAATTAATATAGCCAAAATTTATACAATTAATACAAGAACAAATTTATAGCCAAAATCCATACATTTTATTGTTAATAAGAAACATTTCCATTAAATTTAAAAATAATAAATAAATAAATAAGTCAACTATAGTAGCAAGGGGGACCAGATATCCACCCGCAAACAGATACATGGTTGATTTCATTTTCTAACTTCCTCAGAAGAGCAAGCTCAAAACTTCAGTTGGTTTTCAAGATTAAGATAATCACTCTATACTAACGACAAGCAATCTGCACATAGGATTAATTAAAATATCCACCTCAAAGTAAATGTCACAACACTACCTTGTCTAAACCTGAGTCAGTCAGATATATTGACATTCCGAATACATAAGCTATAGAAGACCGATACATTCCTTCATCTCCAACACCAGCAGATAAAGATGTTGCCCATCCTTTAGCTTTCAAAAAGAAATGCAAGCTTCCCTTGCCCTCTGGAAATTAARGGTTATGAGGTTCAAATTGAAATATAAAACTAGAAAACGTATGTATGGTGTGCCAGATAAACATAATAATTATCAAGAGTTGGAAAATTATGGAGAACAAAAACATCAATACCAGGAATTATTAGAACACTTTTTTTCGAACTGCAAATAATGGAAATGTAGCAATTTTTTTATTACATAGAAAGATAGCAAATTTTTGACTCAACATTAAAGAAGTAAAGGCAATCTCACCATGCCCAAGGATATGTGCTATATAATCTTCAGGCTTCTTCAGATAATTATGTTGAAGGCATGGCAACGTCCATGCTAAGTCAAGGATATGAACATCTTCAACAGCCTCTAGCTTGTAAAGCCTCCCTGCTTGCCAGATTGGATCTTTTACTGTGAACTCTGGTTTTACTTGAACACCTTTTTTAACATCACTAAACAATTCGACAACCCAACTCTCAAGTACATCCAGAGGCTCTGCAATGCAATAGTACATAACTTTTTTACAAAACTAGCCAAGTAAAAGAAGATGCATATAAGAAGACACATTATTTGTCCAAATAATATTCACTCTCCCGATGAAGCTAGTCCTCTAGCATTTGAACAAAAAATTTCTTCACTTCTTCAGTGACTAACCACTACCAAATCTAGGATTAGGGGAATGATTTCTGTGATACACCAGAGGAAGATGGATTCTATCACAGTAGGAAAATCTCCCTGTATATTTGATTTTAGMAACTGATTTTTTCCCCCTTTTTTGGGATAAGAAACTCAGTGATTTCATTGAAAAAGATCAAAKGGAAAATTTCCAGTATTTCACTGTGAATTTAGCAACTGAATTCAAATTTTTCTCCTCCATCTGCATACCGTCAATGGACATTGAAATAACAAACAACATGCAGCCCAAGCCCAAGTCCATAAAAAAAATAAACTGAACTAAATAACTAAACTAAAAGTGAAATGTCAGAAAGATGGAACTCAAAGGATTTCAAAACAGCTGTCTTTYATAAGTTAGGGTTGAGTTAAGAACCCAACTACACCAAAAGAAGAGATTGATATAACTTCCACCATTGATTTGCAAAGGACAGATCTCTGATGTTGAAGCATAAAAAGTCATGTAGCTGAGAAGTAGAGTTTTGTTTTTAACAAGTAAATCAAAATCATACAACTAACATACTGGAAGGTACCATTTGTATTTCGCACAGGACACCAAACAATAAATTTTAAATTCCACTTCCTACGTTCAATGTTTTGTGATATAAGTAACACAGTATCTCCAGAGACTAGGGGAAGAAAACTTCACCTCCACCAATGACAACCAGCTTCATTAGTCCACCATGATAATAATCTCCGAACAGTTTCAATATTTGTTCTCGCAGATTGATACCCTTTTCCATTGCATCAACCAAGCTCTTCTTATTACCTTCCATTGCAAGAAAAGGACAAATAAAAAAGGTCTTCTCACATGACCAGATTGATCAACCAGAAAAAGAAAACACTGTGACAAGCAGGCTAACCCCAGAAGAATCTGTTAAAAGGGTGACCAGGCACAGTTGTACAACATTGAAGCTGTAGAAGGCGGCAGACATCATTTTGCAAAACCTGGTTGAATTCTATATTTCATGTGTTAAACATACAGTTAGGCAGTAAAACTTATTAGGAGCATRGTAATGAGCAAGAAACAAAGGGCTTGTTCAGAAGACTGTTATGAAAACAAATTTCTTTTTTTTAACTGATTAAAAAGCTATGATCAAGTGCTTACAAAGGTGAAAACCATTATCCATTTGAAATCATTACTTATAAACTTGTGTTTTTTTAGGGAGAATTAACTTTAGTTTTCTAAAAAATAGTCTATCCACAATAACAAACTAAAGTAAACAAAAGAAAACAACTTTTAAGAAGAAGTTAGATGAACATGTTTACACTGAATTTTTTTCTTCACAAATAAAAAAGCATTTTCAAGAACAGTTTCCAAACAGCCCATATATTTCCTACGAAAGAAAAAACTGAAAGCTACAAATTTACAAGCAGGAACCCACCTGAATCAACAGCAAGTACCTCTCTTTCCATGGCTTCAATTTTTACTAGAGGCGAAATGAAGAACTGTGAAAACCTGATAAGCAAATGCATCGATTTTCAGACTACATCTAAAGATGGAATCTCAGATAATCAACTGGAAATATTTTCCTTGCAATCCATCACTTTCTTAATATCCCGTATATTTTATAAAAAATTTAGGAATAAATAAAAGTACACGGACGAACCTAAACGCATACGATTAGAGTTTAAGGTTAAATTTTGAGAACCAAGATATCAAGGAAAAGAAAAGAGAGATAAATTTTGAGAAGATATCGAGGAAAAGAAAAGAGAGATTTTTGGACACAATAGCTTTATTGTTCTTGCACTTCTCCATTAAAGAAAGGTGTTATGGTTCAAATAAGAAAAAGAAAAGACCTTTTAYAGTAGCATGAGAATAAAGTAAAAAAAAATGTATGATAAAGGTTTTTAATAAACTTTTCAATTTTGGAATGTATGCAGTAGATACACTCCTTGTGCTACTTCACGGGCTTTAATAATAAAAGATTTTTGAAATACATTACTTATCTCTTTGAGATAAGAAACACGCGAGCTGGAGAGAAAGGACGAGCAAATAGGGAATGGAGAAGAACTAGTTGGTCATTCCTAGCCAATTGCATAGGAGATTAAAAAAGAAATCRACCAAAATGTGAAGAAAACATGACTTTGCTTCAGCAGAACTCCTCTTTGTTTAAGTAATAGAAAACAAACCAACTCTCTACAATTTATTAGAATGTTTTTGTAACTCTTATGTTCTTTTTTGGCTTATATGGTTTGTGCAGTAGAAAAAGGCACCCGAGGGTAGTTCAATCGGGGAGGAAGACATAATACAGAACCAGGGGATTCAGATACAGTATTTCTTTCATGAAGATGCCAATAAATTCAATATTAACCTTTTCAGAGCACCTTTAAGAAACTCCCGCTTCACCTCAAAATGGTAACATGTATGCTCTGCTTCTGTATACGCATTTGAGGAACCTCCATGCTTCGATAGATAACTATCATACTAGAAAAGCAAAGAGTCAAACTCAAACATCAAAGTAGAGAATTTTCATTCAAACCTGTCCCATGCAAAATTTTTKAAATTATGCACAATGGCTTTACATGCATAAAACTTGTCTTACAAATAATATTATATCAATCACCAATCTTCTATTGATTCCACACATTCAGACCTACAATGCATCCAACTTTTTATCCATTCTTTCAAATGAATAAAATTTCTTGTAGYATAACAATTTATATAAACAAACCTCATTTTCATCTGGATAATCAGCACTTCCCATGAAAAGCATGTGTTCTGCAGAACATGTAAACACGTTATTTCCGAGTTCCCAAATATTGGATCGGGAGATTGTGCATTTATGGGCAAATGATATACGTTGATGTCAATTAACCACATTCGTTGATATGAAATAATCTAGCATTAAATTTGTCATATAAAATAATGCAGCGACGCATTAAAGGATTAACCGTAAATGCATTCAAGATTTATGGATATCACTTGCATACGTAACAAATTGGTGGGAGCCTCAGCCTAGTGCAGGTAAATTATATACATGTTTCCAAGAAAAAGTATCTACTAACTGCAGTGTCTCAGGAAAACTCAATATCCACAGCTCAAAWTTAGGGTGGGAAAGGCTAAAACAGTCTTGGTCTCTGCTTGTAGAATTATTTGGAAAAGTTAAACTGAAGTGTTCCAGCTGGACAAATGAACGAACCTAGAAAATGAGCAAGTCCTTGCGCTTCAAAAGGATCAGAGAAGCTGCCAATTCCTACGCACATTGCAGCTGCAGCCTGTGATCGGATACAACCAACAATAGTTACATACGACCTCTTATAGATATACAAAAATTAAACGTACCAGTTTTAGAATTTCATTAAATAACAAAATGTTACTTAAAAACCAATTGATTCGTGCTTCGTATATGATTAGACCAAGGATGATTCGATGAACTTACTCCTTGATGTGGTATTCATTTGAAATGATATCAAAAGAAAAAATAAAAAAATCCACAGTCATCCCACGTAAAACTACCACCAACCTTCTTAGTCTGAACAGCAGCTTTATTCCCCTTCCCTTTTTCTTCATTATCAGTACCTTCGTCACCCTCCTCCTCTCCTACTTCATCTTCATCCTCTTCATCATCGTCTCCGTCTTCTCCTTCACTGTCTTCGCCTTCTTCTCCTTCCTCCTCCTCGTCCTCGCATTCTTCATCCTCTTCGTCGCTGTGTTCAACTGATTCCGAAAGCTTGGGGCATCCATCTGGATATATCTCAGGATCGTGGACGAGCAGAGCAGATAGACCATTCTCCAGCTGAATAAACCTGTACAGCCTTCTGTCATTGGGCGACTTCACCACTATATCGTCCGAGGAGAAAGTGCAGCGACTCATGGCCGTCCTTGTATCTCTGCTCGAGCTGTGAACTGTGGAAATGGAGGCTTGAAGCTAAGAGGAACCAGAAGGTTTCTGCTAGGTTTTCCGTTCGGCTTGCTTACTGCGACGAACGGCAATTTCCAGTATGCTGATTTCTACACCGCCGCTCGCAATATGCTGCGAATGGAAAATCTGTCTATTCAATGAAACGACGTGTCGGCATTTCGGTTTTTGTGAACAAATATCCTTAAAGTTTCTAGGTTTTTTCTTTTTAATAAAAATATTTATTGGCTATATTGTACTTTAATTTTCATTCTACTTTAAAAAAAAATTCTTACTTTTTTTTTTCCATTGAAGTTTAGTATTTTTATCGTGACAAAAAGTAACATCATGTATTTTGTAATTTAGTGGTAAGACGAATATCAAACTTTTTTGTATTTCAAGAAGATTACACTCTTTTTGTCTCTTGCTTGAAGTGTCTTATTAATATTCATTTATTTGTATTTTGATGAACACATCTTTTGTGAAATTTATGGAATATACTTTTTTTTATTTTTATAATCTATTTACATTACACTCAAGTATTTATAATTAAAAGATCCTGAGTTGAAATTCTCATATAAAAATTATATTAAAAAATAAAAATTATCTCGAGTGAAATGTTTTTTTTTAAACAAATCTGATTTTATCTACCAAATCATAAAACTRTGTTCGTTTATTATTTTAAAGGTTGTCTCTTTATAGTAAAAAACACATAAAAAAATTATTAAATTCATTCCATTACCAATTTACTATTAAATTTAGTTAATTTCCTCGTGGGAGAATGATACTATTCTTCAAATAACATATTGCAATGAATATTACGATAATTTAAATTTACAACCTCCATACAAATATGTTTATAAAATAACCATCGATCTATTAAGTTCAATCGGTCTCTATACGTCCACTAAAGATGTGTGTTATTTTTATTTCATTTACTTTTATATTTTGTCGACTTTAATCTAGCTCAAATTTTAAGTCACATATCTTGACTCAAATTTTAGCTGAAATTTACTTTTATATGTATTGTAGAAAAGAAAAAAAGTACATGTGTTTACAACAAATAAAAGGTTTTGTTCTCCGGTTAATCCCTATTTTCACAAATGTATTATTCTTTATGATCTCAAGAGTGTCAATCAACCTTGAAGTTTGATGAGATTAAACACTTGACTTTATGCTTGAATTGACTATACGTCTACCTACTTAAGTTATGTTTTATATATTTCATACAAAATTGGAGGAAGATTCGACGCTTTGTTACAAGGAAACCCCAACAAAAATTACACAATATTCCTTATTTTCTATGAAATCGATCGTATCTGCTACCTACATTCTATAAAATTGTGCTCGACGAGTCTTTTATTTCATTTTTTTCGTACACATTCGAGAGTTTTATAATTTTACTCATTAGCAATCGTTTAAATCAAGCAACTCGAGTAGTCAATTTACYACTGAGTTAGGCTCGCAGTGACTACTCAAGGTAATACCAAAACAACATATATACCAAACTAAATACTATAGAGTAAAAATTATACTTTTTATTATTCCCTTATCCCCTCTAAACGACACGTCGTTCTAGTCGTTACCGAAGTATGTCTGCGAATTCAATTCAAGCTGCTCTCTCTGCCATCTCCGGCGCTCGACGGTCCGTTTTTCTTCACCTCTATCAGCCTATCGTCTACTCTTCTCCACCAMTTCTCTTCGTTTAATATCGAAGTAAATTTCCAATTTATCGAAATCGCAGTTCATTCTGCGTTGGAGTTAAAAAGCCCTAACTTTATCTGTGATTCTTCTCGTCAGTTAGGGTTAGGGTTTTCTTTTTTGGTCCGGTGGGGCTCCATTTCTGTTTTTGACTATGGACGAGGACGTTTGCCGTTGGGTTATCGAATTTATCCTTCGGAGTTCAATGGACGACGAATTGCTGAAGAGAGTTCTTGCGGTTATTCCCATCCCGGACAAGGATTTTCGCCTGAAGAAAACGGTGCTTTTACGGGCCATTGAGAGCCAAACTTTGCAAGCTGAGATCACGGAGAAGTTTCTCGAAATTTTCGAGATGATCGAGCAATTGGATAAAACTGAGGGCCTTGCAATGATGGAATCGATGAAAGCTGCATATTGCGCGGTGGCAGTGGAGTGCACGGTGAAGTACCTGGTGGGGGGAGGCGTCCAAAGATACTCCGACGCAGTGAGGAGGATCTGGAGAGGGAAAGTGACGGAATTGGAGAGGTCGGGAAAGAGTGAGTTGGTTTCACGTGAATTGAAAGCATGGAAGGACGAGGTAGAAGATGCTCTCTGTGACAAGAATGTTCGGAAGAGGCTGGCGAATATGAATACTAGGAATGAAGCTTTGAAATTGGTCACAGCGTATTTGGGTGAGGCTTGGGCGGTTCTCGGCCCGCCATTTCTTCAATTGTCTGCTTCATTGATGGATAAAAGTATGACAAATGAAATGCAGTTCCTTCAGTTGGATCAGGAATTAGGGGCAGCCGATGAAACTGCCATTGTGAGAAAGGATGTAGGTGGCAGTAGTGAGATTGAGTTGCCCCCCCAAACGGTAAACTCTGAGAGACTGGAGCGACAGGAAACCGTGCAAGTCCTTAGTGAAGCTGCAACGGAGAGAACTAATTTGCTGAATATCAATCAGGATTTGGGTATCAACGATGGTTCTGAACAATCCTTTGTTGCAGTGGACACTGAAGAAGTCCAAGAGTTGGCTACAGAAGCAGCGGAAATTCAGGAATCAGCAGTGAGGGACGGAGCAGTTCCGCACCACGCGAATCTAAGCCGAGGCGGTAGTGATACACATCCATTTTTTTGCCCATTCACTTTAATGGTTTGATATAGATAGTAGCTTGCGTCCTTATCATTCTATTTTGTTGGTAAACTAATTAAGATTAATTGTGTCTAATATTGAAATTTTGAGTGTAAACATCTTCAATCTTCAATCTCCAATCTCGTTATTTCTTTTTTGTACTCAGAAAATGCGAAGACTTCTGTCTTGCCTAGATGCAAATCCCTTGCATCCCATAGACGTGTTAGAGGAGGGGCTAAAATTAGTAACCTCGACGACTTGGAGAATGACACTTCACTGGGAAAATATAGTTGCCTAGATACCCCTGAAGTTAACCGGGTGCGAGAAGCGCTTAAAAGCAGCTGTTTAGAGTTGCAAGCAGTGGTGAAGGATCCACTTCCTGATGCATTACGCAAAGCAGAAGCTGTAGCATGTGATCTTGCTGGAAAGAATAGAAATCACGAGCATTCTTTGGAGGAGCGAAACGATGCTGCTGCCACCAATCCAGCCACTAACAAAGATGATGAGCCTCTTCAATCTGGGAATGCAGATGTTGAAAATCCACGTCACAACCGTCAGATAATTGTTACTCGTCCTACTAGCATAATGGAACGCAACAGTACTGCTCGTACGTATGAGGTAACGTTATCCATGTTTGATGCCATCTTGTTACAGCATGGCAACCACGTCTTTTCGACTATCTGTTTATAGTGTTGCTTGGGAAAGTTTCTACATTGCTTGTTGAAAGCTTCATTCTTGAATCTCCATCCTTGCTATATTGAAATCTTTTATGTTTTCGAGACTATCATTGCAAGGAGGAACATTTCCTAGTCTAAACGAAGTGCAGGTACAATTTTGAAAACTTTTTGTGGTAGAACATCCCTTTTTGGGCTACTATCTTGGTGTTGTCGACAACTTTCATTTTAATAATGGATTATAGTATTACTGGCATGGCTACAATTTTATTTTGTCGTAAAGTTCAAAAAAGAAACAAGATACTTGCAAGTACATGCATACGATTTTATGGTTGCATCAGATGTTAATGAGCTATCCTAGGTTGTCGTGAGTTCTTGTGTTGTATTTTGTATTGAAAAGGAACTTTGACTAATTCCCTTGAGAGTTGGTAGTTATTATAGGACAACAGTTAATAATGGTTTCGTGCTTTAGGTCTAAGCACTATTGAAACTCCTTTAGCGTATGGAATATTGATCTACCTGATTGGATGTTTTCCCTCCTGTACCGAAGGGGATTTTTTGTTAATTTTACTTTTGGTTAGATTCATGATTTTCTATTGTAAAACTTCTCTCTTTTTGTTACAGTGGGATGATTCGATTGACGGTGCACCTGAGGGCAAGCGCAGTAGCCGACTTCATCTTCCTAGTCCCAAGAGAAAGGCCATTTCTCCCTTGAAGAAGTACGAAGAAATCAAATTTATCCGAAGAAGGAAGAGTAAGAGGTGGAGCTTGCTTGAAGAAGACACCTTAAGAGCTGCCGTGGACAGGTATGTGCTTCTTTTATGACTTTCAAAAACCATTTTAATACGTGAATTTTCATGATATATATATTATTGTGTTAAGTTTTAAGGATTTGCATCTCTCCAGAGATGATTAATTAATTTGAAGGTAAATGGTTAATATTTTCTTTTGTTAGTAGAGGGGATGAATAAAGGAGGTTGAGTGTTGTGTACCCCAGTCAAGCGATAAATTATTTAAGGGGCCGGTACAGTTTTATATCGTTGGATGCAGGAGAGAGAAACTAAAAATTACGGTTTCACCATGCATCGAAAGCTTTAGAGGGCACAGCAACATCGAATAATCTTCCTTCCCAAATATACACACCACCCGCACATGAATTATTCTGTTAAAATTGAACTTGTTTGTCTCTCTATTATAGCATGATAAAGTTGTACACCGTTCACTTAGTATATTCTGTTCTGTTAGCTTAGATTTAACTTTCATTGCCTCTTTAGTTAATAATTTTGCTTGGTTTGTAATAAAGGTTTGGAAAAGGAAATTGGAAGCTCATCTTAAGCACCTATCGTGATATATTTGAAGAGAGAACAGAGGTAAACAATCTCTAAAAGAAAAAAGGATTTTATGTGTGCTTTCTTTTGTCTTTTCAGTGTCCATATCTTTTGAGGTTATTGGGTTGTTCTTGTCAGGTTGATCTGAAGGATAAGTGGAGAAACATGACCAGATACTAGTGTCTTTGTACAGCCCCATCAAAACTCTTGTTTTGAAAGCCAGAGGGATAGAAAAACATTCAAATATAGGCTCTTTGTAAAGCTTTTGATAGTTTTCCATTAGCTGAAATCCCCCTGTGGGTTTTGGTTGTAATTTAAAAAAGAAATCAATGAAGTGAAAAATTTAGAGGTTGAGTGTCATGTATTTGGTATTATTGTGTCTATACCAATTTAAGCATAGCGGTTAAGATACCCATGTACGACCAGGTGGTCATGAGTTCGAATCCCCCACCTTCACATGTTGTGGTCTGAACTCTAAAACATTTCAATCTAACACAATTTATACGATAAATGAATGGGTGGGTAATTTTGGATAGATTATATTTTGGAGATGGATTTAGGTAGATAATTTAGTCAAACAATTATATGTCTGGTTAATGTTTCGAAGTTTCGAAGTTGTCTACCCTATTTATTTAAATTTTTTAAGGAATGAGTATCGATCTAAGGGAACTCAAAAATATGTAATTTAGCTCAATTTTCAAGATGCCAATAGAAGGGAAATTTAGCACATAAAAGTTACCCAATGTTCATGAATGCTTACCGCAAAGTTTTCATTGAAGGGTTAGGCTTTAGACCAGAGTTTCTTGGAAAAAACTTCAGACAGCTAGACAAAGAAACAGAATCCAGCAATGGCTCCACAGTTTGGCGAAGCAAATACACTATTAGCATGTCATGTAGGACAAACAAAGAAAAGAAGGCTACACGATAAGCATCCCGACATTGAACAAGACTCGTTTCATTCCAACAAATCTTTTGAGCACCCACCCCATTAACACAACAACAAGGTTACATACATCGAAACAAACATCGGAGAACCGAAAYCCATTTGAAGAATCCCCCTAAGAATATAAAAAAAATTTGGTCCTTAAATACAAATCAAATGAATGATATTGAAGTGGAGGAGAAACTTCTCTAGAGACTGGAGTTCGATCTATAAACAATATACTAAATCACATGAATCATCAACAAGTCAGTTGGGTCAAAGCGTCAGCAGCCAGTTCTGCATCAAAAGGTTGTACTGCTCTCACTAGCAGAAAGTGAGGGGCCCTCGGATTTCACGAGTGATGGTCCTTTACTACTGATGTCGAGACCCTGCAATCGGCCTATGGGGTCGCTCTGCAGAACTTCTGAGAGAGAATGAGAATCTGATTGATGCAGAGGGTGGCTAGACATATTAGATAGTGAATGGCTATATGGTGGCATTTGCATGTTCTGAGGGCCTGCAGATCCCGGTTGCGGTGGAAGTTGAATGAAAGACGATGGGGCGTATGCCATGTGATGCATTCCCAAGTTAAACGACTCAGAAGGGCTCATTATTTCCCCGGTAGCGATTCGAAGCCTCTCGACTTCCTTCTTTAGTGCTTCATTCAGAGCTGCATAAGGTTAAGCATAGTTTCAAACAAGACTGAAGATGGCAACGTATATGCAAAAGATTTCTAAGTTAATAGTTACATGAACAATGAAGTAATTCTCACCATCACGCAATTGAGCCTGTTGCTCCATAGCCTGCAGCCGCAGTTTAAGCTCTGTATTCTCGGTACTGAGACCCGTTGTGTCTCGCTGCATAAGATGATAAGTTTTGATCAGGTCATAATTCTAAGCTGGTTGTTACTAACAACAAAATTCTTAATCAGTTACAGAATAGCAACCCCCTTTTTCCAACCAAGCACATCAGTTTCAGGAGCAAATCAGTAAACATTATTCAGGAAAAGGTGAGTAATTTCTTTTTTTCATGCCACAACTACTAGAAATCGTCTGATTTCCAATTGAGCAATAAAGAATCAATTTTAAGCAGACCTTGCCACAATTGAAATGTTCACCATCCGAAAAAATAAGTTGAAAGGCAAAATTCTGGAATGATCCAAAGCTCAGCTTGATATTTATGGACACAAACCTGGAACAAAGTCAATTGGGCTGATAGAGTAGTTGCTTCTGTTTGAAGGGTCTGCACTTTGCGCTCGAGCTCTTGTATATATCGCGCTTTCCTCTCTTTTGAGCGAGCTGCAGACTGTCGATTTGCCAATATCCTAAACATAATAGCAATGACATGAGGTCTCCCAAGAGTTTCAAACATTCGTTGAGTGAAGATGAAACCATTATGTGCATCGAGACGTATCAAAAGATGAAGCAAAACATGCAATACAATGTATTTGCTGATGCACAAGAGGGAAGAAACACAATGAATGATGCAATACAATTAATATTTCATCTTTACCATGTTATGTCGTAGAAGCATGAATTATAAGAACTGCAAACTCTGGACTCGGGAAATGATTATACTGAAAAGGAGAGATCATGGACCAACTTACACACTATAATAAAGAAAATGGAAACAAATGGTGTAAGCAACTTTGGATCTGATTATCTGTAAGTGTAAACAAAACATTCAAATATAAAATATAAGTGGAACTAGTTCCCTCTTCCCTTAAACTGAATTTGGAGAAAGCAGAGAAATTTTACCAAGCCAACTTGAAAAAATGGAGAAACTTCAGACAAGCGTGCACCGACATTAGTGCACAAAAAAGAAAACAAGAAACTAGGAAACCCAGGTGCGGAAAAGTTGAATCAGCTCAATTTATGAACTATAACCGATCAAACACTGAAAACTTCTGTGCAATCCCGCTTCGAGTCAAGCATAATTTATCACAGTCAACAGCTGATCATGCTGCTATTATTGATCAAAGTGAAAGAATTTGCTAGTGGGAGGTAGTTAAGCAAATTTAATAATCAAAACAAAGAGTAGTTAGCGAGTTGTCTTGTCTACCAGAACAGAAAATTATTGATAATATAAACTAAAAAACATGGTCAATAGCGATAATTCAGCAGGTCAAATGATGTGGAGCAGCAATTGAGCAAAAAAATGGATCGAAACAGTTGCTCAGAACTCATAAATCAGCTGACATTACCAATTTACTCCCAGAAGACAGAGAAAGAAGGCATAATAAAATTGGAATGAAGAAATACCTTTTGGCGCGCTTGGGGTCACTGGTCCAGAGCTCAGCCAACTTATCCGGAGGCATGGCTTTCTTGGCTTCCATTATCTCCCCAAACATGCTGGACGASGACGTCGTTCCGTCCACGGAGACGCTATGGCGATGCCTTGGCTTTGAAGTCTTCTCTCCCTCACTACCGCCGGCGCCTTCACTTCCGCCATTGGCATTATGATCCGCGTAATTCCCCCCTCCATTACCCCCAAGCTTCTTCACATCAATGTAGGTAGAAAACAGATCATCCTCCGATCCGATCTCCTCCAGACTTGCGGTGGACGAACCGCCATTGAACGGATCGGAGCCGGAGAGATCCATCATATCCTCCGGTAAGCGGAAGCTGACTTCCGAATGAGCCCGCCGATGATGAGAACCGGCTCTCAGCACGAATGAACCGTTGGGGGAATTCGAATTCCCGAACATTGAGGAGGAAGCGGTCGCATTCGCCACCGGCGGGGGTTTATGAGTCTTCGGCGGCGGAGGAGCTACTGCCGGCGACAATGCAACATTGAGCGGAGGAATCGGATTGGAATTGGGAGTGTGGATAGGGTTTGAAGAAGCTGGATCTTGCATTTTCCTTTTCCCCCACCTCTAGGGCTCTCTCTCTGAGTTTTCCGGGCGAGTGTCTCTCTCTCTCTAGAATCTCTCTCTAAAATCTCCTTGCCCGAGCCATGTGCTTGGCTAATAAAGCTTTTTTTTTTTTCCTATTGTTCTTCTTCTTAATTCATTTTCTTATTTATTTCTTTATTTCGTTTGAAAACTGGGAAAGCGGAAAAGCTCCTAAAAAGAACTGTCAAATTTTTTTCTTTTCTAAATTTCGGCTCTACAGTCTGTTTTGTTTTGCTGTTGGTTTTCTTTGACGACGTCGTTTACTACATTTGACATGGGAAGTCGTTGAATTTTGACTTGAAAATAGTGGAAATTGGAAAAGTCTTCTCTTGCAATGTCTTTTTGCCTCGATAATTCTTTGAGATTTTACCGAAATTGTCTTTTCTTTTCTTTTCTTTTTTTTTTAAAAAAAAAGGTAAAGACAAGACAAGACACCGAAACATCTGGAAATCAAACAACAAATTAATCGGATGTAAATTATCAAGAATCTCTTTTTCGAAAATTTTGGTTTGTGTCTATGAGTTGTGGTTGTTTTGCTTTTATAGCCCGATTTAGATGTATATTAATTATTTTATTGATGCTTTTATACGGGTAGAAAAATCCAAAAAATATTAAAAAATCAATAAAATGTCATTAATATATATACATAATATTAATATTAATTATTTTTAACTTATTTAGAAATAGTAATAAATATTTTTTATTGTTTTTTAAATTTATTTAATTTTTATAAAATATTTATCGACATTGACATTTACATGAAATTGAGATCTTGATATTTTTATTGACGTTGACATTTAAAACTAGTTCATTTTTTTAGTACAATAAATGTAGAAGTGCAGTGATTTTAACCTTTAACTTCAAAGGAGGGAATTATACGCCTTTATAGCTAAGCTATGTTGTCAAACTCGATTTAATGTATATATTTTCTTTTAATACAACAAATGTGGAAGTAGAAGTTTTAGTACAACTATGTTCATATTGACTTAATATGGAGATTCTTTTTACATGCATGACTTAAAATTGATACTTTTAACTTTTACTTACCATTCTAGTTATCCATTATATTATTATTATTATTATTATTATTATTATTATTTTGCAACACATATTAATCTATTTAACCATCATCGATTATTCTATAATTTATAATTACTTTTTACTCAGTTAATTTTATAATATTTTGGTTAAATTATGTTACATTGTAGTTAAACCTAGTTTTCTCAACATATGAGAAGTGAGTCTGATTATTTTAAAAAAAAAAMYAAACTAAACTAAACTGCTCTTTTCATCACAATTGGCAAGCTGTTCATAGGAATTTAAAAAAAAAAAACAAAGGAAAAGGAAAGGGAGAAAAAAAAAACAAACGAAGTGCTTATTTTCAATGTGAGTGTATTTACCTAAAACTTACCTACATACTCATCAATATAAGTTTTTGCTTACTTTCTATCATGACTCATTTTTTATGTTGGTATATTTACCTAATACTTGCCTACATCTTCCTCAATAAATTTTTTTTATTAACTTTCAATCATGACTTGTTCTTAATTTTCTATTTGTAATACATTTAATAGATTAGAATATCATACCAATATGAACCTACATAAATTAAGAAACTATACATTTCATCTTAGAAGTGAGATGTTTTACTCCAATTCCACCATTTCAAACTAAAAAAAGTGAACCCTACTCACATTTTTAAAAGATTTCATAGGTTGAATTTAGAATAATATTTAGGTGCTTACCGATCAACACTCATCTTCTACTAACCACTAATAAAAATTTAATAGCTTCTTTAATTTTTTAAAAAGTGGAAAAAATATTTCTTATGTTTTTCTCTCTCTTACTTGTCAAAAATTTAATAGTGGTCTACACATCGATAAACATCTAACTATTTCTCTTCAATTTATTTATTTATTTTGTAACTTGTCTATTCTATTCCTTTTCCAAGTTGTCCATCCAGGCCACAGAATACAGAATAGTTTTAAGGGCAAGCACGTAATATTCGAACAAACCCTCCACCTTTGCAGCAAAAGCAGAGCAAGAATCTAAAATGGTTTCCCTTTCCCAATTCCAATGCATCATCAAATGAGTAAGGAGTTTAATTTCATGCATTTTTCATAAAATCATGTGAAGATGCTTGCCTTAGTACCTTCTGCACGAAGAGAAGCTGAAGCACATAACTTTCAAGCATCATCACCTGTGAGGATGAGCCGATGCTGCAACTTTTGCTCCTCCTTTTTCTTCCTTCCCCCCTTAAATCTTCTGCTTCTGTACTTCAACAACTGAATCTCATCAATCCTATAGCTACCATTGGATCATGCAAGTTGAAAAAACAATGAATTTACGTACCCTTTTCTCCTTCACATGGAACACAAACTTTATCATCGTGTTTAAATCTAGACCCAATTTAAAACTTCTTTAGTAGAGGTCTAAAGTGCAGTTTACCATGGAAATGGGTTAATGAGCAGTAGAGGTAAAGGAAGAAGAAGGGTAATTACGTACTTGTACTCATTGGCACTCCTGGTTTTGTCACCGATTTTCTTATCTGTATGGTCAGAATAATGCGAGGTCTCCAGATTCTTCTCGGCCAGAGATTCATTTTCTGTTTCATTTCTGATGCTATCGCAATTCTTCTTCTTCTTCTCATAGTTTGAATCATCATCCAAAAACTCTGTGTCTCTGTCGTCTACACAGGCATCCTTGCTTTTAGTGCATTTTTCTTCCTGGAAATCAACCTTTTCACTTCCTAATGATGGAACTTTTGATTCACTTTTTTCGCCAGTGCCGACGCTTCCCTGAGCTGATAGTACAGGAGAAATTGCGGCTTCCCCATGAGAACTAGTAGCTTCTGTCATGGTTCTATTCGTGCCTACCAATTTTGAATTTGAATATAGGTCGCGCCCCAGTGCCCCAGACTCCATATTTGATGGTTCAAAAGAATAAATTTTGGAGACTGAACTGCTAGAAGGACGAGGAACAGTTTCACCATGTTTGCCGGTGAAGGAGAGTTCAGGAAGAGCAGACTCAGAGAAGGGATCTCCATTCCAAGGCATGGGACCTCTGAATGGACGATCTGGTGCTGGATTTTGACACAGAGAGCTCAGGTTGCATTCTTTCTCAAATGACCAGTTTTTAAATGGCCGTAAATTTTCCATTGAAGGAAGTTTTGAGTGATGGACTGGCTTGAACTTTGACGAATTTGATTTTCGCGCATATTTTCCTGGCTCATTTGCATCATCTCCTTGATTTAAACTATTCCCAGGGCCATAATCATCATCTCTGCCTCTTCTCATGCTCTGCCTCAGATTCGAGTCTAATGTTGTGCTATTGAATGCCTCACACCTAACTGATATAAACAGCAGAGGAAGATGAATTTAACTTGTTTCAAAATGAGGAGAAGACAGAGTGAGTTTGTACTTTGTGTATATATATATACACACTTCAAAAAAATGTGTTACGAAGTGCGTTTTCTTAGAACAAACTCATATCACCTGCACTGGATGAACAAGACTCTTCACTGCCAAAAATTGAAAAATCCATTGAAATCAGTCAGAGCAAGAGAAAAAGAAGACAATGAAATAAAACGACAAAAAACAGTTATTTTACTAACCTCAACAAGCTGAAGTTGTCTGTAGCATCGTCTGCCATAGGGCAAAACCAATCTGGCTGGAGTGATTTGTCTTCGAAATCAGAAATCCTTGTTTTCGAGTTCCTGCTTAACACAGACAAAATTTACGTATATGTACCACCTCATTAACATTATTTTTTAAATTTGGCCTACCTTTTTGTATCCAACATCGAGTCACAGTCATATCCAAAAGTGTGATGCTTCGATCTTGACTTAACCGGATCTGATTACCAAGCTTTTTAGTCAACAGATATCGACATTGGGATCTTAAAAATCTTTTAAACTTTTCATGATAATAAATTTAAATGTCAAGGACTTTAAAAGGAAAGGGAGCAAAAGAATGGCGGGGACAAAACTTTTAAGAATGCAAAGCAAGATAACAAGGACAAGTACGTGTTGGACATCACCCAACACATGGATTTTGATGGATTGCAAGTAGATGAGCACAGAGTCCATAACATAAACACACCTGCGAATTCTTGTAGGTTTTCTATATTGGTATATGAAACTTTTTCACATTAAAATGAAGTATTTTAAGCTTCTCACTCGATTGTTTCGCTATGGTAAATCAACCATAGATTAGACAAAACTCACTGCAGACCCATGTAAATTCTAAGATTTTTGGGGGCATTACCAAATAAATTGAATTTGTCCATTGTTCCTGCAGCACTCACACCTCTGCACATAAATATTCATTTCAGTATAAAGCTTTCTTTACCTTTCCAAAACCCAAAAGAAATTAGCTTTCATCAACATAGGACCTCTTTTTGGGAAGATAGGGACCGTCAAATGCATTTGCTGATATATCATACTTCCCATACTTCATAAAGTCAGATGAATTGCTGTCAATTTCATCAAAATGATTCTTCTCAAAGAAATCACATTCCATCTCCCCAAGAAAGTCGTCGTTTAAGAACCTAAATCCACCTAGTAGACACAAGATGTTGAGATAACTTGAAAAGAAAACTGATAATCAATGTATGAATCACATAAACAGGGGGAGGGGAAGCAGCACAAATTTATTTCATCCCCGTCGTACATGTATGCTAGTGTGATATCATAATCATCATGGTAAAGATCTCAAGCATAAATAGTACATTCCTTTGGAGAAGTTTTTGTCACTTTCAAAGAAGTCACTGCTGAACCAAGAAACTGCGTTGATGATGCACACAATATAAGATTCTTTTGTGTAATTTTATTGTTTTCCAACTTTATCCTTCTTAGTACATATTAAGTAGAGGTATCTTAGTCATTTTCATTAAAGTTTAGTTGAGAGTCTATCTAAAGCGTTACCATTAAGTTGTTTGATAGACATCAGTTTGACGAATGAATTTAGTCTTGAAATCTTTTCTTTCAAGTTAGCCTAGAGCTTCTTGAAAAATTACAATTCATGTCTTGAGTTGCATGTCAAGAACATTAAAATAGAATTTATCATCTTATCATGTGGGGTGTTCGACTTTTGGACTAAGAAATTCGCCTCAAGAATTTTGATCTTAATTTGTGCCTAAACCCAACCTCTAGGGTTGAAATCAAATGGATTTGGGAAKTTTAGTGTTTGAGAATTAGGGGTTCAAATACTCAAAGAGTTTCTAATTCCAATTCACAGAGATTTTGATATAATTTATCCTTTAAACCAGAAACTTTGATATATAACAAATTATAAAGTACTATTAAACGGAAAGGACATACTGCAAAACACATTAATATGGAATAGTAGATGACGAGTTGACAAAAATACCGAAAAATAATAAACTATCTTAGAGATTTATTTATTTATATATATTTTTTAGCAGAGACAAATTAAATTACAATAAATTCTTCCTACAAGAACATAAAGAGGAAAGAACGAGATTTGAAAGATAAACTATCGTAGTTATATGAAAATTGGTTTTAATAAAATAAACCAACTTACAGTAAACCATGACAAGGATGATAAGAGAACAAAAATTTACCATCCAATCTATCTCTTCCTCCATCCGTTCCATCAAAGATACTTTTGCCCCCATAATGTTTATTTCTTTTGCAATCTTCAATAGAATGGAAGCTGATCTTCGCATGTGACTTCTTTGGGTTATCACATGCATCCATCATGCCCAAGGAATAATTTAACAAACCGTCATCACTGTGCTTTTTGATATCCCGCATGATTATATCCTACATTTCGTGTATCAATATTATCATTGTCAAGCTAAAGAAAGACAAGTTAAAGATACTTGAACTGAAAATTATGAGGCCCACTCAAAATATCAACTATGATAAACGCAACAACGGATAGGTATTATGTAGCTTTTAGAGACTAATAGAATCCAGATTACTTCATGGCTGTCTTCACTGCATAGAGGCACGACACCAATAATTTGAATTTAAAGATAGAACTCGATGAGATTGCCAGAATCTTTGACATAAAAAATTTAAAAGCGAAGCATACAAGATAATGAGAGCACGAATTGCAGAATACAATGTCATGATACCAGGAGAAATCAATAGCATAAATATTATATGAAATCAAACAAATGCAGCAAGATGCTTCTAGCAAAGCTCTTACTCCTTCAAGTTCAAGGTCATCCAACATCTTAATGTTCTCTGAGGAGTTCCAGGGCTGCATACTTTTTTTACGAGGTGAGAATCCATAAGAAAAGCTTCTGCAATCATGCAAGTGAGAGTACTTTTGTTAGGCTGAAATTCAATCTCATATGCTCTTATTTTATTGTGTTTTCAGGTCATCTTAACACGTAGCTAACATCATATACATACGAAGTAGAAGGTGCTCATTATACCACTATATAAAACTTCTATTAGATTATTTAGTGTAATCAGTTATAAGTAACAAATCTATGCCTGCACACACCGTGGACATAGTCAGGATGGTAGGTTTATTTATAGCCTTGAAATTCAAATTACAATCAATTTCAACGTACATTTTTTACCCCTATTGGACGAATGCAAACTTCCTTAACAACTTATGAGACTTTCCGGATTTAAATGAGTAGTGACAGGAAATTTAGTACAGTTCATTTCTAGTGCACAGAGTAAGAAAAATAATTTAACATCTTATATGAAAGGAATGTAATGAGCTACAAAATATAATTCAAATACCTGCCGGTATGCTGTGGGGAGCATGCTGGTGTTTCCATTCCTACTCTGCCCAAACCTGACAAAATTGATTATCATTAGAAATAGTCCGGAGAAAAGGCACTAACTTCTGAAAGTTATACAAGAATATCTTGTCAATATATGGTAAAAGTCTTCATTACTTTGCATACTGGAAAGTGGAAACAATATATATAATATGACATTCAAAAACTATGTTGCTATTCTTTGATTTCTTGCTATGATAGCATTAAAGAACTTTGAATAGTGAACGTACACAAGTGTATAATTGATTGACATCCCTCTAGACTAGAGTTGTTCCCATTTCCAATCAATTGGCAACCTTTGTATCTTCTAGAAGATCGATCATCTATGTTATCTCATGGAAACCTAAGACGCATCTTGTTTTGGTAAAAGTCTGTCTGCAGAATTCTAACATGAAAAACACGAGCAATTCAAGAAATTCTTCTGTCGAGAGAGTCTACCCGCTGAATAAATTTGCTTCATACATCTTGAATTCATCCATACATATGTAATCCTAAATACAAATTTCTCTAGTTAGCAGTCTGTACCTTCGACTGAAAATGCGACATGAGCTTCTTTCATTGGACTTCCTACTGAATTGCCAACCATTCCCTCATCTCCAAGCAAATCGAATATAGACAGATCTGGCAAATGCAAATGTTAGAATAAAGGCACAAAACTAATAGCGAAAACAGAAAGTAATGTGAGGAGCTGATGACAAATAACAATCACAGACTAAAAGCAAAGCTACATTACCAAGACGGCAAGACCACTGTCATTATTTCAAATTCAGTAAACACCAATATAGAAGGAAATAATGGAAAGTAAACAGAGTTCAATTATGATGCCTACTTACTTTGCTCAACAGCTGTCATCCCCAAATCTGATCGAGAATCTACTTCGTTCTTAGTGTTATAATGATTATCAGGATCATTATTTACATTTCTGCCAAAAAAAAAACACGTTACATATAGCAAAAAGTAAACCATGTCTACAGATAATGGTAGATATAATATTGAGGAAGATGTTTCATATAAATAATGTGATTGAAACAATTGCCACTTACTTCATCGGAGATAAAGTCTCTCCTTTGTAGCCCGATGGAGCTCCTGTTTCATCATTGTGCTCTTAAAAATTATGCTTTACTTCAGCTTAAATGGTCTTAGAGACAACAGCTTGGTAAAGAAGAGGCACAATCAAAGAATAAGTTAGAAAATCACGTTTATTTTCAAACTCAGCAGACTTCTCTACTGTCTCTATGTTATAAAGTGTTGGTTCTGGGTCTGTCATGAAATGAGACTGCCCTGTTGAAGTACTAGCCTCTGCAATAAAACATCATGAAAGAATATAAAAATGTAATTCACCATTAGATAAACAACAAAGAATAAGAAACTCCAGAAAACCCAGTCGCATGCAGATCAAATATCACAAATTAGTCTGCCCTATATATATATATGATGCATGACCTTTTACCTACATTATTAAAATATATTAGCTTAACTTCAAGCATTTTATCGAGGTTCCAGACTTGTGGGAAAAGGATTATCGTGCAAGGAAAGATTTATGGAAAAGTAACTTTGCATACTACTACCCTCTATATAAGGTAACTATGAAACCTTTACATGGGAGTGCAACGACAGAACTCCTTTGGTTTCTACTTCCGAGTTCTTCGAAAACACAAGGAAATTAAGTTCTAGGCTTCAATTCAATAGTTTTGGAAAGTTACCAATGGTGTAAGCAGTTTTGTTCTCTTGAGGAATTATTGATAAATTTAGCAAACTAAGAATATCCAATGACCGATGCTCTTTTTGTTCCCTGCCTGTGTCGACCGCATCATGACAATTCTCTAAACCAGATGTCAGCTGTTGTCGTCTTTTTCTTTGTTCGAAATACTGCTTTTGCCTTGAGAACATAAGAGGTTAGAACTAAAAAGATTAGTTGAACTTGATGCAAATGCCATGGAATGGAACTGTTAGCGTTTACCATAGAATGATGTATCGGTCCTCATTTTCAAAACAATAAATTTCACAAAATTCGATTTCTGAGTAGGCTATGAAGATTTCAAAACACTAATGAATGTATGGTAGCAAATAAAATTAAGAACTCAAAAATTCCTTTACCTGTTATGTGTGGATTTCCTTGACTGAATAATTCCCATCATTTGATCATCGAATTTCATCGTGCAAAAGGAAAATGTTTGAGAGTCAGAAAAAAAGTTTAACACAATTTAAATAGCAATGAATATAGACAATCTGAGGAAGATACAACTATATAGAAGTAACTCATATGAACTTTTCTTCTAGAACATAAGCATTAAATAAATGGGAGAGCATGCTATTGCAGTATACAAAATTAAAACGCTAGCCTGATATATTTAGTTTGCAGCCTGCCTCTTTGTGACAATTTATGACCCACAAAATAACACAAGAGAAAATAATAATAATAATAATAATAATAACTTAATCTGCCAAGCGCCTTGAACAACCTGTTTAGATCACCATTGTACTGAAATAGACTATTGTTTCGAGAAGTGAAAAAACAACTGAGTTTTAAATTTGTATTTATTTTATTTTTTCATCTTACTTGCTATAGAAAGCTAGCCACAGAGAGAGAGAGAGAGAATAATAATAGAAATATCGAGTACGCAAGGTGCTACTGCTAGGCTATATCATCTATCCGATCTGTCAAGTATTAATAAACTGAAAATTTTGACTTTTATGTTTGTTGTATAATTTAGGATTTGAAACACCAACTGATATAATAAAACACTAACAATTGCAATCACTTGAAGTAAGACTAGCTTAAATCAGAATTACCGTTGCAACTTTCCGCCTGGATCCTCCCATCCATTGCAACATTTTGATAATGAAGCCAAGCTTTCTTGCAAAAGGAAAAGACAAAAAAGCAGCACCTAGAAACCTGACAACATTCACTTTACAAATAACATGTTCTTAACGGTCGAGTTGTGTAATGAATCTAATGACAAAACAAGCAAAAACGTTTAATAAGATTGGTAACAAAAGGCAAAGAACCACATGAAATGTCACCTGAATATGATAAAATTAAATGGAAAAGGAAAATGTACCTCAAAACCTATCTTCTTTTTCTAATTACAAGATGAATCGATGATTGATTCAGTACAGTTCAGTTTGAAAAGCACGAAGCTGTAAGGATTTGATGAACAAAGCATAGAGTTGCGAGGGGAAATTGAAGAAAATTATTCACGTTTAACAATAAATTATAGTGCCGATTTATTAGCACAAGAAACGAAACATTTTGGTGGAAAGATTCTATTCAACGGGACGAAAACAGAGATACTACATGAGCAACACGATTAATTTATACACTGCCAGAACTAATTAGACCAGGTCTGCTTGAGATATAGAAATAGAGAGTAAGTAACCGCCCGCAAGGTACTGTGACAAAGRATTTCTTTCGTTAAACTTCCTGTTCGCTTGTACCTTCGAACCTAATCCCAGGATCGACTGAAAACACGAAAAAATAGCGAGGAGAGGCAACACTTCGTACAGCAGATTGCAATGTGCGGCAAACATTAAAAGTTACAAGGAGACACTACATTACATACAGCAGTTTGAAATGTGCTCCAAGATGAACGAAAACTTCAAACTAGGCAGAGCAGGGCCATAACAAGGAGAGCTCACTTGAATTCAAATAATAGACAATTTCTCGTTTGCACCGAAAATTTAAAACAGCGACGTCTTATACTTATAGTGGATTGCTCCAAAATTAGTCTGAAAAAACTTGAACGACGATGATCATAGAGAAAGAACACGATGATCATTGAACAGAAGGTTACCTGACAGCGCCAATGTCGACAAATGCAGAGTTTGATTATTGAACTGTAAATGCTAAATCATACATTTGGCCGAAATCACTCTTCGCGAGAAGCGAAGTTCTTGGCGCGAAATGAAACTACGAGACTACGAGTATTGAATTGTTTCGGAGAAGTCGAAAATAAAACAAGATAATTTTAAAAGGAAAAAAAAAAACGCTAGATGTGCGATAACTATCAGAGAAATTGTTATTTCATAATATCTTTAAATATTTGATAACGAGAAGTAAGAGAGATAAATGTACTAAAAAAATARAGAGATAAATATAAAAATAAATACTTTTTAATAAATGTACTCAGCTTGGTCAATAAAATTTTGTCATTATCGGTGAAGAATGGAATATTTTCCTCTGTATTATGGTATAAAGGTGCGAGGGGATGGAAAAAAAAAATTATAGCATTATAACAAGTCGCTTTAGCATCGTATTAAGAGTAAGGTAAAGTTTCTATTAAAAGAATAGCGATGTAAAGTTTAGTCCAATAATATATATATATATATATATATATTTAGTACTAGTCCAATAATATTAAAAAATTGTGTATAGAAGTGAAAGTATAGTGTAAATAAATAAATTGATACTATTGGGTAGTACATAAAATGTT